TGCAAGACCAGCCCGGGCAACTTGGCAAGCCCTCGTCTCCACAATAAATCAAAAATTAGCCAGGCAGGGTAGCATGCACCTGTAGTTCCAGCTACTTGGAAGGCTGAGACAGAAGGATCGCTGAAGCCCAGCAGATCGATGCTGGGGTAGCCGTGAGCATGCCACTGCACTCCAGCCTGGGCAATAGAGTGAGACTCCAACTCAAAAAAAAAAAAAGAACCTTCCTACATCATTTCCTATTCCTTTGATGTGGGGGAATAGGAATATTGATATAACACAGGGTTCAACAGACTAATTTAGGAGGAAGGAACCTCAGCAGATACTCTATGGGGATGATCAGAAACCTCACGGGGTCCTGATGACAGTGTCTCTCTGGGGACCAATTGCTGCCTACACACCCAGCTGCAGAAAAGTCCTCAAGTACCAACATGGCATTTTAGAAGGACTCCCGGCTCAATCCTCCTGGCTCAGCACTCTACCTGCCCATCCAGTCACCCCACCACAGAGCTATAAGACTATTCTCCAGAAGGAGCTCTTGGTGAGACAAGGAGCAGTGCGAACCCCAGCCCTTGTGCAGTGTGAGAGGCAAAACATACCAAGTCCTCTCGGTCTGCACAACTTTAGGCAACACAGGGCTCAAGGTACACAAAAAGACTAAAAGCCCAAAACTTTAGAACTAGTGTGGGATACCTTAGGAAACCTGAAGAAAACTGATTTCAACCCTACTTCACCCAGCAGGAAATCCCTTCTAATCCCACAAAATGGCATTCTCCAGATAAGCCAAATGGGTCCAAACTTCCTGGATAGGTAAGGTGGCTTCTTCAAGCGACATTGTAGAAAGAAGTCAAACTTCTCCAAAAAGTCCATCAGGAACCACTGCCAGAAACTGTACTCCCTGGGTCATCGCACTTCCTATGAAGCTCTGTCTCATCTCCAAGCCCTTCCTCTCTGCCCTCACCTCCCAGCCCCCAGAGTAGAAAGTAACCCATTTCGGGTCTTACTATGGCAACATAAACAAAACAAGACAAGCAGAAAAGACGCAGTTATCACCTCTGGAGTTTCACCTTGTCAGGACCCGCAATGGGAGGAAACTCTGTCTCCTCATCTTCACCATGCAAGCGTCTGGCCTGGCTGGTACAGTGCCCACTGCTGTTAGTGCTGCTAACAGAAATGTGCAGACAAGGCAAAACCTGAGAACTACCATCTCATTCAACTACTCTGAAATTTCAATATGGTGGTAAATTCTTTGTCATTTTTTTCTACTCTACAACAGAAGATGGTTAATGGTAGAACAAAACCCATGAAGCTCAACCAAGAGCCCCCATGTCAGAGCACGAGATCCACCCAATCCCACAAAACATAAGCTGACAATGGGTCCCTCTACAGACTCTGAGGGGCACCCTGAGAACTACAGGAGAAACACGAGGTGGGGGGAGGGGAGCTGGCCCTGCAGGCAGCATGGCCTTGGACAGCCATCCCACCACCTGCATGGCCCTCAGTGTCCTTATTGCAGGGGCCCCTGTGGCAGGTGCTCCGCAGACAGTTCTATGCTGGAAGGACAGTTCTCAGAGGACCTCAGCCAACTTTAGAGCTGGATACAGAGTTTGTTTTATGTATTTTGCATCTAACGAGGCCTCAACTCTCTAATTAGAAAGAGGCAGACCCATTCTTTCCATAGAAATCAGGCTCATTGTGAGGAGAACAACTGTGGGCCAAAATCCAAGCTAAAGGGAGAAACAGGAAGGTCACCCTTCTTTTATATCCAAGAGATCTCAGAACATCTTCAGCTCAGATCCCCCCCACCCCTGCCCCCATGATTTATATATATGCAGCCAGGCCAACCCAGAGCCTTCGTTCAATCTTGAAGATTCTTCCCTTCGCTCTCCTGAGATGTTCCACTTTGAAAGATCCTGTGGGCCGGATTCAGTGGCTCAGCCTGTAATCCCAATACTTTGGGAGGCCGAGGCAAGAGGACTGCCTGAGCCCACGGGTTCAGGACCAGCCCAGGCAACTTGGCAAGACCTTGTCTCTACAATAAATAAATAAATAAATGAGTAAAAAAGTAGCCAGACATGGTAGCACGCGCCTGTAGTGCCGGCTACTCGGAAGGCTGAGGCAGAAGGATCACTTGAGCCCAGCGGGTCAAGGCTGCGGTGACCATGAGAGTGCCACTGCACTCCAGCCTGGATGACAGAGTGAGACTCCAACTAAAAGAAAAAAAAAAAAAGATCCTGTGAACTCACCATGCTCTCCCCACCTCCAAGTCAAGATCCCTTCCTGAAGGAAATCAGGGTGTTCTGAGTATCCGAGTGAACCACGTGCAGAGTGGATCCAAATTCTGGCCTCCCTCTGGCCCAACGTGGCCTCCTCTGGTCACCCTCTCACGGGCTCCATGGAAGTCAGATAAAAGTGGGCAGGGTCGGAGGCTGCTCTCAAGGTGTGGCCTGACCACATCCCACCCAAGCTACAGCCAACGGTGGAGTGGGGGGGGTGACACTCAACAAACCCTTGTGCTGAATGGGACAAATTAAGTCCCAGATAAGTCCTAAAGTCACCTTCCATACTGAGAAGCCAGTCTGAGGGCCAGCAGTGCAGACTTTGTGGAGATGTCTCTTTCCATCAGATGTGGCCTGAGAGCCTGAGAGGGACCAGCTGAGGTCCTTCATTTTACAGGCGAGGAGACTGAAGCACAGAGGGCACTGACTCTCCCCAAATCACACGGGAACTAGACGCTGAGCCGAACCCAGACCTGAGCTTGGAAAGGCTGCCCACACGCCTTCCCAAGGGCACTTCCACACCCCAAGGCTGTGCCAGGCTGCCCAGCAAGAAATGAATTCCCAATCCCCTGCACCCAACCCAATCCTGACCTAGAAAGCCCAGCGCAGTACGCCTCTCCAAGTCTTCTGAGAAGGCACAACCACTCTGCTTCTGCAGAATCAGTGTACCTTCCAGCCTCCCTCCCCTAAACGCCACCCCCATCAAGAAACACATTCCAGTCCAACCTTTCCCACGCACCTGCCACATGTGTGGCGGGAAGACAGCCCAACGAGGACATGGGGCAGTGGGGCAAGTCTCTGCCTGGGATCCAAGAGCCCTGTCACCTTTGCCATGCCCTCATCTCTCTAGTCCTTAGCGTTTGCATTTATGAAATGGGAGCAACAAACATCCATAACCACCTGCTAGGCCTCTAACACACAGACCTCTCCTCTGAGAGCACACGATGGGGATGGGTAGAGGGAGTGAGCCATATAAGGTCCCACAAGTACCATAAATTCCTCTTCACCCCATCCCCCTGCTCCCTCACAAGCCCCTGAAACACTCACCTCTCCAGGGGAAAGAAATTCAGAAAAACAAGAAACCCAGCAAGCCAACCGACTGAAAATCCCTCCGAACCTGGGACCCACCATGGAATTCTGTATAGGACATGTGGACTTCAGAATATGTCGGCTGTACGTGCCGTCTACCCGTCCTGTGGATTCCCAGCAATTACATCCGAGAGGAAACAGGGGATGGAGAGAAAGGCAGATGAGAAACTCTGAATGCCTCTTGCCTTCCCAAGGCCCAAAGACTACTTGCTGCCCTCGATACAAGGCCCCTCTAAAAGGAAGAGGAGGTGAGGCCAGGCTGCTTCCTCCCTCTCTCCTGCCCTTGCTTTGAAGGCCTCCCACAATGAGAGGCTCTCAGGCCAGGACTGTATGACCTGCCCCTTCTCTGCAGTGCCTACTACAGGCAGCATCCAAAAAACCAACAAGTATCTGCTGAGAATGAATGACCCCCGGCACTCTGTCCGGCCCCTCTCTGCGCCAGCACACAGCAGACACGAGGTGAACGTGCTCCACAGAAAGGAATTCCTGGACCACATCTGCTGGAGGGTGAATAAGAAGAGGGCCCTAACCACTGAAGTTGCAACAGGGGTCTCCCCCTCCATGCTTTAAATGGGCCCCTACAAAATTTAAGAAGGATTCTTTGAAAATGAAAGGCGTTTTCTTAAAGTCCTCCTAAAAAGTCAGCCCCTCTCTCAGGGTGCTTAAAAAACAAACAAACAAATAAAAAAACCAGCATTCAATTTCCACAAGGTGCTGTTTCAAGAAGGCAGCTATTGGCCGGGCTCGGCAGCTCAGCCTGTAATCCCAGCACTTTGGGAGGCCAAGGCGACTGGAGTGTCTGAGCCCATAGGTTCAAGATCAGCCCGAGCAACTTGGCGAGACCTCATGTCTACAATTAAAAAAAAAAATTAGCTGGGCAAGGTAGCACGCGCTTGTAGTTCCAGTTACTTGGAAGGCTGAGGTGGAAGGACCGCTGGAGCCTGGGGTAGCGGTGGTGAGTGTCCCGCTGCACTCCAGCCTGGGTGACAGAGCGAGATTCCAACTCAAAAAAAAAAGAAAGAAAGAAGCTGGCTATTGTATGCAAGAGAGCAAAGCCCTCTCACACCCCCCTATCGACACCTCCCTCTTGTGTGAGGGGACACAGTCCCCCCTCCCCCCATGAGGGCTCCTGGAACCTAGCTCCCTCTCCTCCCCCGCCCACCCCGCCTGGCCAGACCCCATTAATGCACTACTAGTGCCATCAACACTGTTGTTTTGGAATGTGCCAGTAATCCTAGTGGCAGGAACAGCAAGCTTGAAGCTCGGCAGAGAAACCAGCTGGAGAGGCAGCCTCATGAAATAATGAAATGCCAAACCAACCCCTACATCTTCTCCAGTCTCTCAGGTCACCTACCAGATTAGAAGGCCTGTTGCTACGGCAACCATATCTTGCAAGTGCCGGCTGAACTTCCCCATAATTTTTAACCCTTTAACGAGCTCGGAGAGGGTGGTGTGCGCATGAAGCCAAATCCCAGAGACTCGGCTGGCTCTGGCTGTGCCTGTACAAATTAGAGCAAAAGGAGAGGAAACAGCCAGGGGGAGGGGCGAGTCCACCGTCGGGCAGAGGGAGCACTGTCCACAGCCACCCTTCCTTCCCACCAAGCCGCCCGAGGGGCAGGCAAACTTTCCCCACACCTGGCCACTCCCGGGAGCAACAGCCCCAAGGAGATGAGAATAAACAAAGGCAGGATCCGACTGGGCTTGCCCCTCCCGGCCAGGCCTGTGCCCTTGTGCAGCAAAACAGTGCAGGCCCTTCTGTGGGAAGCAGAAGGCGGCTGGGAGCTAGGCGGTGGGGACAGATGGCCACGCAGGCACTGGCGCTCTCCAGTTGTCTGATGGGCGCCGGCTGCCAAACAAGCCCCCCACCGCCTCGCAGCCGGTCCCACCCCAAACACAGCACTCAGGAGCTGCAGTGCCACTGCAAAGGGGGCCAAGCTCCCAAGGGGACTGCGTGGGGGCCCCGAGCCGCCTCCCCCTCCAACATTCCACCCACATCTGCAAGTCATCGGACGTCCACTCCTAACTGCCCGGCCTCGCCTTCTCTCCATTTCAGAGAAGTCTTCCTCCAGCCACCCCCACCTGCTTTGTGTTCAGCGACCAGAGTTCCTGGGGTCTTCAAAGAATAAATCTTTAAAACGACTTTCCTCAGCCTCGCAGATTTGACAGGAGAGACTCCATAAAATCAGGCCGCGGCAGAAAAAAGCCTGGCACAGCTTCACCACTGAGGGGTGAAGCCCCCTCAGCTCACCCCACATCTTCGGGGAGGAGAGAACGGAGCTCAAGGGGAAGAGAGGCTCCTGACCAACTGGAGGCCTGTATGGTTTCCCCAGAAGACCAAGAAAAAGGTTTCTGGGAAGGAGGGAAAGAATGAACAAGGGCGGGAGGGAGGGAGGAAAGAAAAGGAGAGAAGACTGAGCCTCCAGTGAGAGAAGAGAGAAAACCAGAGGGGAAGAGGGAGGGGAGAAGAGAAGAAAGCAGTAGGAGGGAAGAGGGCAGCCAGGCCACGTTCATGGGTGCCCAGTAGTGGCCCATGGTGGGTACTCAACAAATGAGGTGTGGCCCAAGAGCAATAGCCCCACTCCAGACAGAAAGCTACGGGCTCACTTACAAAGTCAGACAGCCAGTAGGGGAAGGAAGCTCAGCATGGGGATGGGCAGTACTTAGTACGTCTTTTTTAGGGGGTTGGGAGTGTACCACCAGGGTGCTGACACTATTAGCCAAGAAAAAGGAGAAAATTCAACCCTGCACATTTCTGCAATGTCATCCTCCTGCTCCCCACCAGTCTGGTCACCTCCTCTTCTCTCCCATGCAGAGCGGACACCTGGGAGGAAATCCAGTCCAGTCCTAATGATGTCTTAGGCTGAGCATGGTGGCACCAGCCTGTAGTCCCAGCTATTGGGGGCGGGGGGGAGGTGCTGAGGTGGAAGGATCGCTTGAGCCCAGGAGTTCAAGTCCACCCTGGGTAATATAGTGAGACTCTGTTTCTTTAAAAAAAAAAAAAAAGTCCTAATATCCTGTTCACCAAGTAAGTAACGAGTCACAGGACATAAACAGCTTAGTACCAGGAGAAGGGTAATGATTCCTATTTGCATGTCACCTGTCCCCAGCCCTTCCACATGCAGCCAGTCAGGTTACAGAGGAGCTGACGCGAGAGCACGGGGTGGGGATAAGGAGAGATCCTGTCCCTTGGGGAGAGGGAGGGCATGGCTTTGGCTGGAATTTCATCATTGGCCTCCAAGTTTAACTGGTCAGTGTGTTACCCAGGAGACACCAAGAGGCAGCTTGGATGGGACCCCCTCAAGGAAGGACACTCCAAAGTCAAAGCAGTGGGCAACCAGCACTTACAGAGAGCCTACATTACACCACCCGGCCCAGAGGTGGGGGGGGTGGGGGGCGGGGGGTGCTCTAGGGGAAGGTATCCTTCCCTAACCCGCTCAAGGGCAGGGCTGAGACAGCTCCTTTATATCACTCTTTAGCATCCAGGACAGAGCAGGAGCTCCAAGAACATCTTCGGGCTAAGAAGGAATGGGCTTTTTCCATTTTAACTCATCAGCCGGGCAGGCAGCCACCAAGCTTATCCTTAATGGGCACTTATGGTGTACCAGGTGCTGTACATACAAAGTGAAGACTAGCACACCTTGTCTGCCCTCAGGGAGCACCTCTCACGTGGCAACTCACTGTTGTACTCCGACACTCTCCACTTTTGCCTTGTGTGCAGCAGACCCTCATTGCTCAGATACAGCGTGGGCTCTTGGGTTCTCGCCCCATGTGTCCCTAAGGCTTGGCCAGCCCACTCGGCTCAGATGGAGAGGAAAGCAAGGGTGGGGTCTCAGGGTTCTGTGCTAATCCCAGTGCCTGTTGACTGGCTGACCAACTGGAAGCTTCATAACCCATTCAACAACTGCTAAACTAAAGACCACTTCTCAGGGGCTATAGCTCATTCCTCGATCCAGGGCAGAGGGAGTGCCAGGGCAAGAGGCAAGAAGCCTGGCTTCCAGTTGTGTGACAGAAAGGAAGATGGGTTGACCTCTACCCACTGGGCCTCAGTTTCCCCTGCTGACAAAATGAGGGGAGTGACCGGTATGACCTTTAAAGACATCCTAATGAACACCATTGGGAGGCCAGCACCATCCTAGCTGGACAGGGCTGTGGGAACAATGGACGCAAGAGAGGATTCCAAGCAGTGGGCATCCCGCCAACGCATCCCCACCTACACACTCAACGACACAGGGAAATTCTGCCCACAGCTCTGAATAATAATAGAAGTAACATTTAGGTAAGGTTGGGGATTAAGCTAAACCTCACTTAAGAGGCAGGGATGTTGGCATTTGGGAGCAGGAAACGGGCCTGGGAACGTAGTTAATACCTACCACAGAGCAAAGCGGATCACCGCCAGCTCCTGACTCAGGAGCAAGTCTTCCGCCCCGCCACACTTCTCCCTCTGCCAAATCCAGACACTTCAAAGGGGCCAGGCCAAAGAGTGGGGGCTGGAGGTCAGTTTGGGAAGTCATATTTTCAGAAGAACGTTGGCAAACCAGAAGCTAGGGAGATGCCTTCCAAAGCAGAACGGAGCCGATTTTAAATGGAAACCCATTGGTGGAGGTGGAGGAGTTTTATGGGAAGAACAGAGACGTATATGAGTTGCTATAATTACCCTCCCCTCAGAAAAAGCTGTCTTAGGAAGAAGCTTTTCCAGTTGGTGGTACTGCCTAGGACACAAACGTCTAACCATTCTATCCAGAACTGAAATGGGCTGCCTTGTCCGGTACTGAGTTCTCCATCACTGGAGGTAAAGCAGAGGCTGCAGATGGGGAACCAGGGCCAGGGTGACTCTCATAGTCAGAAGAGACTTTACAGGCCAAGCATGGTGGCTCACACCTGTAAACCCAGCGCTTTGGGAAGCCAAGGAGGGAGGACTGCTCAAGCCTCGGAGTTTGAGACCAGTCTGGGCAACATAGCAAGACCTCATTTCAACAATAACAACAACAGAAAATCTAGACATGGCGGGCCTGTAGTCCCAGCTACTCGGGAGGCTGAGGAAGGAGGATCACCTAAGCCCAGGAACCGTGACTGTGCCACTGCACTCCAGTCTGGGCAGAAAAGTGAGACCCTTACTCATAAAAAATTAAATTTCAAAAAGAAGGGACTTTAGAGGCTATCCATTGGTAAAATGCTAATGAGAAAACAAACACAAAGGGGAGCATTCAGGTCCTTTATGCTTTAAAACAGTCTTTCCTTAAAAAAAATAAATAAAAGAGCCTAGGATTCCTTCAGAGGACACAGAAAGGTTTTGCCTGCCCCTCACTGACCTACAGAAAGCTTTTTATAAACACAAGGTTTCCCTGGTATCCTCGGCCAGACTCCGCCCACCCTTCTTCCCGGCTGCAGAGGTCACTGTGTTTTTGTGGCAAGAGCTGCAGGTGGTGACTGAAATGCTGGATAAGTAAGAAAAGCTCCATTATGTAAAAACTCACATGTTTAGGGCCCTTCTGTGGAACAGAGAGTCAGAAAGTTAAGTTTCGGAGCACAGACCTTACATGGGAAACGTGGCAGGGTGGCAGTCATCACCCCCAGAAATACTGCCATCCTGACAGCCCATGGCAGTTATGGCCAGCCTGTGAGCCAGTTAAGGTTCACCTGCTTTGGGGAAATGAGCAGATCGCAGGTCGGTGATCACCAAGGGGCCTCCCATCACCACTGTGACTCAAGTACGTTCTAAGTGTCAACTCCTTGAGAGTTCTGTTCACTTGCTGAATTCTTGGGACCTAGAACAGTGCCCAGCATATAACATGTGCTCGAGAAATGCTTGTAAGAAGGATAGATATTAAAAACGAATAGGCAAACCAAGTGTCTTTCTCTCAGTTTTGGAATCAATTACAGAACCTCTTTTTCTCGGCTGACTCACCTATCTCCTGTGTTCAACCCAAAATATTTCACTAAAATTAAATTGCATTTGCGGAGCCCATGGCGGGATAAAAGAGCTGTCTAGAAGCTTCGGGAGAAGGGATACAGCATGGGGATATGGAAACCCCCGTGCGAGCTCCCCAAGGATCAGAATGTCTGTGTTGTGTTCATTGCTTTATCTTGAACAAGTGGTGTGATACTGCACACAGAATGCGCTCAACAAATACCTAAAAAGAATCAGCAAATACAATTCACGGTACGATCCAGGCAAGTCACTTCTCTCACCAGATCATCTTTTCTCAACGACAGAATGACAGTGCTGAGAGGCTTGGGGGTCTCCAGCCAGTTCTAATGTGTCTGAAGGCCTGTGATCCAGATAAGCTGGGCCTGGAAATGGCTATGATCAGAGAAGGCCTGCGTGGTCCCCCAGGTGTTTCCACCAGGGAGGAAGCTAGGAGGCAGTGTGGTGCCATAAAAAAGGAACCCGAATGGACAGCCCAAAATGTTCAAATCCCATTCCTGCTTGGGACATAAGACCTTGGGGGAAGTCACTGAACTTGCTTGAGCCTCAACTTCCTCTTCTGCAAAATGGTGGACCATGCCGGGCTGCCTCCCCAGGTTGTAGCCTAGATGATGAGATAAGCCACAGTGAGACTCCACAAACCCTCACTCACAGAGAGGCCTGCCTCACTTCCAGCTCTAAACCTTATAATTACTTTAGCCCTCAATGGAAGAAGCCAATTCTGGACAGACAATAATCAAGACCAGTTCGCAAAATAAGAGACTACAAAAAATTCACACCCTGTAACTTGGACTGACCTAACTATGAAGAGGTAAACTTTGACAGAACCCAATTCATCTAGAGCTTTCTGCTCCCTCGCAGGAAACTGAACAGACAGAGGGGTTTAAGGCAAAAGGGGAAATATTTGGAAAACTAAACGACTCAAAAAAGAAGACAGAATCTGCGAATGAACCCTACACTCACGGAGAGTGCAGGATACGCAGAGAAACACTGCCCCCACTAGAGTGAGGCCCTCGTGGGCTGAACAGGGCACAGAAGCACCTTGTGGATAATACTGGTCCTTGGCGTGCGGTCTCAGGGAGGAGGCATGGAGCCTGTTCCCACAGAACATGGGAGACCCCTCCTGCTCCCCA